GGCCCTGCTCCCTTCCACCAGCTCTGTTTTCACAGACTCTGCATTTTTGGCATATCCTGGACAGCCATCAGCCCAAAATATAGTACTAACCCTTTCATAGATTTCTGGGCTTGTGTTTTACCTTCCGGTGGGTCATCCTGAGTACCATCAGCTATTGCAAGGCATGTTCTGTGGCACCCTTAGGGCAACCAGTGCCCCTCCGGTGAAAAAATATTCTGTCCCTTGTTTGCTAAGGAGATCATGACCAGGGTGTGGAATTGGACTTCTGTGTACAGGAAACTGTGTGCAGGTTTGCACTCAAAGGTTGTAGGAAGGCTTTCTGTTGTGGGCTTCCCATAGCCACAGTGAATGGCACAGTTTCTTGCTGATCCAAGCTACCTTAAAGATAAAACTGAATAGGTCATGCCAGTGTCCACTGAAAAGCCAATCAAACTCTCCCCCTTGTTAAGACTTACCGGGGATCCATGCCGGTTTCAGATCAAGGGGAATCCCGGGGCCCCCACGACTCCTCATTCTGGACTACCGGCGTTACCTTTCTTTCCTCTCTCTTTGCCCCTTCAGGCCTTTTCCTGTATTCTGCCCTACAAAGATTTTCCAAGACCCCACCCTGTGGGGGTGTCATATGCTTACCTTTGCTTCTTCACTTTCTCATTCATGCTTCCCTTTCTCGCTTACAGCCTCAACGTGGGACTCCTGTTCTTTCAGTGACCTTCTTCCGTACAATATGGTTCTTCCTTGGAGGTTCTCTCATCCTCCTGTGTCTCCTTGTCCCTTCTCTCTTCCTCCTGAATGCTGTCCTGTCTCCCTCCCTACAATACTGATACAGGTATACCATATGTTCCCTTCCCTCTCTTCCATTATAGAGCCTAAAGCTTATTTCCACCAGTTGGGAAGGACTCATCTCTACAGCATCCTCTGTTTTGGTTTACTTCCTCCTTACATCTGGGGTACTGATATCTTATATCCGCGCAAAGAATGTCATGTTAGTCATCCAAGCATTTTCTGGAGCATCAAGATTCACGTTAGGGTAGGCACCATACATTTTCATAATACTTTCACAGAACTCTAGCAGATCCTCAACCTTTTGCTGAAGCTCTTTCCAAAGCACGTTGCTCAGAATTCCCTGCCCTGGTCCTACTAATAGGTGTCCTGACAGTGCCCTTGCCTGGCCCCCTCACTGGGGTCCCAGTAGGGTCTACAACTGGGACAGATTCCTCTGGTCTGGGTTTCCAGACCCTCCTGGTGGAGATGATGAGCTTCTTCACTAGCCTTCCCTAAACCAACTCTCCAAATTAACATCAAATGCTAATTATATATTTTGCATAGAATGTATGTCCACCCAAGTAGGCCAATGGCAGGCAAAAATAGTTACAAACAAATTGTCTATCCTTTTAGGGTCCCGCTTGAGTGGACAGAGAGTGTTTCTCCAATCCGGGACTTTCCCAGTGATAAACAGACTATATGGCCAATGAAATCAATCAGGCTGACCCTGTTTGTCCAATCCCCCCATCGGAAATTGAAAACAGTAAGCTGATTTGCACCAGGGCAGCTCCTTTATTCAAATTGGGTGCCCAGTCCAATATGTAGGAGGAGAAGCTATTCCAGTATTATTCTGGGGTGGGGTGTGTGTGCGTGAGTGTGTGTGTGTGTGTGTAAGGGATTGTGCGACTTTGGAGGGTTCCGCAGCTGGCCCAGAGGGGACACTGGAGTTCGGGGAGGGATTCTCGACTCTTGGGTTAAAGGCCCTCAGTAAGTTTGGTCCTCTTCCCAACCTCCCCCATTACAATGATCAAGGTAAGGAGAAGGTCTCTCCCCTTGTTTTCTCTGTCCTGTGAATCGGTCCTCTGTGTTTTCCAAACATAACTTATGGAGGGCAAGCAGAATCTTCTCTTGCAGACTCCACTGAAGTGGAAGGCTCAATTCCCCTTGAGCCAATAAGGAAACTATAGAAAATACAGACACGTACCCTTGAAAATACCCCCAGAATCAAAATCCTAAATTAGAGATTGTAAATGAAACCAATATACATGCCCATTGAATCTCAAAAAAATAAAATACGTAAATAACTTGTTTACATACACTGAACCTCATCAGGTTCATCAAAGCAAACTCAGAAGGAGAAAAGCAGGAGTAGAAGGGTACAGGAAGAAGAAGAAGAAGAATGTGGAAAAGAGGAAGAAGGCAAAGCTAGCCACCTAAATTGAAGGTTAAACCCATGTCTATTCAAAAATTAATATAAAGTAGAGCCAGAGAAATCCTACCACAGGCCTAGAAATTGCAGTGCATTTGTGGTCAACACCAGAACGAGACCCTTGAGCTGGTCAACTGTGGGTTTTGGGCCCTATATTTTGTGCCATGCGGAAATCACACAAAACAACTATATTTTATACCCCAGATATAACCCAAAAGTTGCTGAGGAAAGGGCTTTCTCATTCCAATGAGAGCCTGGAGCTGGAAGCACACCTGTCAGGCTTGGCTAACCAGGAGGCGGCTTGCAGAGGCAGCAGGAGGTCAAAGCAAGCTGTGCTGCAGAGGCAGCAGTGATTGGCAGCGGGAGGTGATTGCAGATGGCACCAGCAGAGGCAGGTGACACCAGAGGCAGCAACTGTGTATGGAATGCCACTGAGGGAAGCAGCACAGGAAATAAGAGTGGCAATCTGTGATCAGAATTATTAAGATCAGGAGACAGAAACCAAAGGTCATTATCCCCCCCTGAACCCCCAAGCTGATTGCCCGAGTGAGTGCGCCACCTCAGCTTTTAAAGAATCCCGTTTAAGGATCCCTCAGCTCCCTTCTAGCTCCCAACAGCCTCAACTTGCTTTCTCTGCTCAGGAAAGGGGGGTTAGGTGCCTGGCAGCACAGCTTGGCAGGGGGGAGGTTCAGGGATAAGGGAGCAGCCCTGCTGCACCTGGGATAAGTTTCCAGCAAGAGCTCAAAGTAGGTTCCTCTCATAAGACTATCAACACAAAAGGGGCAGTATAAACTACATATAAAAATATTTGTTAAATACATTTGAAATTGAGCTAACACAAATCTGAACTAGATTGTCATAAATCAAGAAAAAAAAAAAAAGATGCTAATTGTAATTCCCCGAGCAAGCACTAAAAATTAGCAAGAGTGCAATAACAATGTAATTAAATGGATACACTAGATGAACTCCAGGTAAAAGACAGATTAGCAGAATGGGTTTTTAAAAGCATGACCCACCTACGCAAATGTCAAGAGTCAAGCAGGTTTTTAAGGAAAAACGATGAAAAGATGCCAGGGTAGCTATGCCATAGTGGACAAAAGAGACCTGGAGTAGGCTATTGTGTGTTGAAGAAGGTCATCAATTTATTTAAGAAAGGTTAGAATTATATGTTCCCCGAAGAACCAAGTCCAAGTTCCCGAGTCACAATTGATAGAATTGGAGAGAGAAATAGGCAGTTCAACAATATTGTCAGTAAATAATAGAAGAAAATATCACTGAGTAATCGGGAGGTCTAAACAACACTACAAAGCAATTAGACTTGTCAGACATCTACAGAAAACTCCACCAATAACTGCAGGACCGATTCCTCTCAAACACACAAGGACATTCTCAAGTACAGGGCATACAACATGATTCAGTAATTTTCAATGAAGTGAAGTCATTATCACATGTATTGTTGTCCGGAATGAGAGAAACCTTGAAGGAAATTTGGGGAGTTTGTAAGTAACCAATGAGTCAAACATAAATCACAAGAGAAAGCAGAAAATACTTTGAGATGAATGAGACTGAAAACACAACAGGGCAAAACAGGGTACAACAGAAGTAAAGCTCAGAGAAAATGTATTGCCCTAAATATCTATATAAGAAGGAAGACGTTACCTTCAAAACGTTCAATAGGCTAATGTGTCATCTGGAGAAATTAGAGGTGAAAAAATCGAAAGGAAATATAAAGAAATAGAAAAAGAACATAGAAAATCTGCAAAAAAGCAAAAGTTGACTCCTTGCAAAAAGCAAAAGGTAAACACCAACTATTGTACAAAAATGAACAAAATATAAACTGCATATGGAAATAAACAAAACTGGCAGATTTTAACTAACTGAACAAGAAAAGCAAGGGACGCAGCTGTGTAATAAAGTGCAGAGTCGAAATTAGTAATCGAACTTTTGAAAAGTCTGGGACCAGATGATCCTGCTGGTGAATTGTTCCAAATGTTTTCCCGAGGACAGCAAAGGCAATATGCATGAGGTACAGGGTCTGTCATGTGGCAGAAATCATCGTAGCTGATCTTTCATTATCACTAAGCAGATTACTATGGCACTAATAGCATAGCCAAAGCTTTGTTATGTAATTGTATCTCTGGTGACTTGATGTGCACTTTTATTTCATGGGAATTGGTAGCATTAGCATTTTGCTTGTCCAGTGTCACTGTTTAGGCAGTGAGCATCAGGTCATTATCCCCCCAGCTGATTGACATAATGATTTTGAAATAACTGGAGGTTTCTGTGGTGGTGCCGGGGGTATGCTGAACGACAGTTTTACGTAGTCATAAAATATGTATCAGCATGCATAATACTTACAGCGTTATTAAATTCAGCCGTGGTGTTTAGTACATGCATGCCACTGGTGCAGACTTCTAGATAATGTTGGCTTTTTCATGCTACTAATTTCAAATTTCGATCCAGATTTTTGTTATTATAGCTTTACAGAAGAAGAAACTGAAGTGCTGGTTCCGAATCAAATGCTAAGTGTGAGAGTGTGGAATGAAAAGTAGGTAGGCTTGACAGCAGATTCGAAGTTTTAACCGTTTCAGTTGCGGGTTATTTTAACGTTATGAGCAGTTCTGAATCCTGGTTTTGGCGCCGTCTGGCTGTACTGAAAGCCTGTTTTTCTAGCAGAGTGCCGCTGAGTTCTCCACCACGTAAATGTCATATGTAATTCGGCTGTGCAAAGGGTGACCTTGATTTACTGAGATGATTTTCTCTCTTTTTAGAGTCATTCACTCATGGATCTGGTTTTGCAGTTCTGCTGAGTGCAACCAGCAGGTGGAGATGTACCCCTTGCGCACAAGAGCTGGCAACGTCATAAGTGCTTCAGGAGTGTACGCAACCACAGGCGACTTGTTTGGGTCACCGCTCCGCAGCCGCCATCTTGTTTCAGCGGTTGAGGTAAAGCTGTGTGCGGTGGTTCTCGGAAGGTCAGAGAGGAGAGACGGAGCGCGGCAGCTACAGGTGTCCACCGAGTAGTCGGCGGGGAAGGAATAAGACGAAGGTGGCAACCGGTGTGACTTCGGTTGTGTGAGAAGTTGGCGGCAGCGTGACCCGGAGAACCATCATTGGTAACAAACGGCCTTTCGGGGCTCATCCCCGCGTGCCCGGGGTTCAGGTTGGCTCGGGAGGCTTTGGAGGGCCCTGAGCTGCTCCACAGTGTCCATGGGGGAGGCGGACTCAGCGATGGCACTAATAGGTCTTGGCTTTTCTCCGAAGAGCTGACCCAGCCCCCCCCGCCGGTCACTCAGAACTCCCATCTTCGGATTTCTGAGCTCTGGTAGTAGCTATACCCCATACCCTCCTGGCCACAGCATGTTGGAGCACCAGTGTAACCTTCAGCACGTCTCCCTCTTTACCTCACTTTCAGAGACATTCCCAGATACAGCCTTGAACGGAATGACTCAGCCACCCGCACAGCTCTGTTTACTGCCTTCCAGGCACCACTCTTCTTACAGCACTGACCTTTACTGAGAAGCCCCCGGTTTTCCTCTTAGACATCATCCCCTTTTTCTTTTTCCCAGCCGTCTTTTCAGAGGACCAACTGTCTTCCTTCACACCCTTCTAAGGTCGACGTGGAAGGAATTGCTTGAAAGCAGTGTTCTTTTGAAACTTCTCCACTCCCACCACTTCCTTCCCTTCCGGAAAAAAAAAAAAAAAGTCACATTTTCTTCCTACCCACTCCTGTCACACACAGCCCTTCCATCCTAGCACCTTACCTGTGCTGGCCAGTTTACCAGCTTTCAACAGTCTGTGCTTCTATATCAGGCCCTCAGGACATTTCAACATCCAGTTTATCTTCCCTCGCAGGCTCTTGTGCCCTTGCAGCCTCATGGGATACCTCTTGATCGGATATCTCATCAGGTTTCCATCAGGAGGAACCCCTTCCTACTATCTGCTTAGCTTCCACAGACCTTTGCATTACTGTCACAGAAATCCAGCCCAGTTACAGTCTACCTGTGTGTGATCACTGGACTTTGTGGGCCTAAACTGAGCATTCAGCAACCGTTCGTGGAGCCCTCCTACATAGCATGTCTTCTGTGTCTTTCTCTTCTTCTGTAAAGTGTATTTTCTAGTGCATATGCTCTTTCTTCGTATTGCTCCTAATATAAACCTGCCCTCATCACTCTCACCTCTGACCTGTTCTCTCTAGATGTCCAGCTTGCCACCGTCCAAGAAACACTGTGTTTCTGGGCCTGCTCCAAAGCCAAACTCTAACTGCTCCTCCTCCTGTTCTGTGATGTTCAAAATGCCCTTGGCTCCAACCAACGTGAGTTTCTTCTCCCTGGACACTAGCTGGTTGGTGCGGTGCTATGGAGGTTGGTGGGAAACTACCTCTGTCACATGAGCTCCATTCCTGCTCTCTCCTTGAACCTGTTTTCTCCCTCCAACCCTAGGAAATGCCAAAAAAGGGCAATGAGGCAGACATAGATGAGGGTCTTTACTCCCGGCAGCTGTAAGTGTGACCATCCTAAGGATGTCAGGAGGGGCACAGAAAGCATAGGGCCCAAGCCCTGTGGGCCAAGCCCTGACCTAGAGTCTCATCTCACCGGGCAGGTACGTTCTGGGTCATGAAGCAATGAAGCATCTCCAGACATCCAGTGTGCTGGTGTCAGGCCTTCGAGGCCTAGGTGTAGAGATTGCCAAGAATATCATCCTTGGTGGGGTGAAAGCGGTGACCTTACATGACCAGGGGACTGCCCAGTGGACTGACCTCTCCTCCCAGGTACCTCTTCCTGGCTTCTTTCCCCTCACCTGCATGGCAGCCTCCCGAACTCTGCCAGCACTTACATTCCTTCTCTTCCGCAGTTCTACCTGCGGGAGGAGGACATTGGTAAAAACCGGGCTGAAGTATCACAGCCGCGCCTTGCTGAGCTTAACAGCTACGTGCCTGTCAGTACCTACACTGGGGCCCTTGTTGAGGACTTCCTTAGTGGTTTCCAGGTACCTCGGAGCATCGTCCTGTGTCCTAATTTTTTTTCAGCGCTTAATTTAGTCTGTTTCATGGGTAGATGTGTGCATCAGCTTTAGTGCTGGGAGGCTAGGGGGATATTGGCAGGAATTCCACTGTGGATCTGCCCGTGGAAGGATCACATGATTTTCAGGAGGAAAGAAGTAGTCAAACACTGTAATGTTGTGGTTATGAACCTGGAGCTCAGAAGCCACCCTTGGTCATTGTGTACAGAGACAGCTCTTGTCGGTCTGGGACAATGAACGGTTGGTCTCATCTGTCTTAATATTTTTCCCATCTGTGGAGAAAGAATGGCTATGTTGAGGGTTAAACACTTAAGGAGTAGCAGCTGGCACAGAGTAAGCTCTGTGCACGTGTTTGTTAAGTAACTGGACCGGAAAGAGGCACCGTGGGTGAGATATGGGTCTCTGGAGTTTCCAAAAGGACAGCAGCTGTTAATATGATAGTGACTTCGAAGGAAATTCGAACAGAGAGCCCTGTAGGTCATGGCCAGGCAGGACTCTTTTGTTGTTTGTTTGTTTGTTTCTGAGAATAGGAGCGTAAGATGACGGGGGTAAAGCCAGACTTGGAACAGATGTTACCGGATTTTTGTGTCCCAGGGTCTGCTGTCTCAGTACATCTTTGCCTTTCTTGCCATAGTCTGATGTTTCATAGTTCTCATGATAGTCTCCTCTCCTCACTGAGTATAAAGCTTTACACAATTGTGTTAATTTTTTTTTATTTTAATTTTTGCTAATTAAAAATATTTGTTAATTTTGTTAAGTTATAATGAGTTAATTTTCAAATGTGCATAGAAGAGGGCTGGATCACCAAGCCTTTGAGTCCTGATACCCCAGCCACCCCTTGCCTGCTTTTCTCTTTTATTTTCTTACCCCCTTTACCCAACTGCTGGGTATGCTGAATGACTCTTGTCTTTACAGGTAGTGGTCCTCACTAACACCCCGCTGGAGGACCAGCTGCAGGTCGGTGAGTTCTGTCATAGCCATGGAATCAAGCTGGTGGTGGCAGATACTCGGGGCCTTTTTGGGTAAGCGCTTGCCTCCCCCTTTCTCCAAACCCTGCCAAGACCGGACAGGACCCCCAGACTCCCACTGCCCTAATTTTACCCTCATCCAACTGGGTGTTTGACTCTGCATGTTCCGATATGGCATGAGTGCCATCTGATTGTTAGCAGTGATGATCTGTATTTGCTTAGCAAATAGTCAGCATGCCTCTCATGGGACAAGTGGAGCACCTGCATGCATGGTTCTCAAGCACCAGTCCTGTTGTCTCCCTCTCCAGGCAGCTGTTCTGTGACTTTGGAGAGGAAATGATCCTCACAGATTCCAATGGGGAGCAGCCCCTCAGTGCTATGGTTTCTATGGTAACCAGGGTAAGGAGATTGACCTCAGGGGTGCTGGTCGGCAGGTAACCAACAAATCCTCCTTGTTTACTGCCCAGCCTACCTTTGAGGCCTTCTTCTCTTCAAACAGGATAATCCTGGAATTGTTACCTGTTTGGATGAGGCCCAGCATGGGTTCGAGAGTGGTGATTTTGTCTCCTTCACAGAGGTCCAGGGCATGAATGAACTCAATGGTGCCTATCCCATAGAGATCAAAGTACTGGGTATGTAAAGCCTAGAGGCAAGAAATGTTGTCCTTGCCGTGTGTCAGAGGTTAAGGGTAACACATACCTATCTTCTGAAACTTCTAAAAGCCAAGAGATAGCTTGTCTCTCAGAACTCTGAGCTAGGATATGGACGAGATGTGTCCATCTCTTGCGACTATAGAGCCATATGTTGCAAGTGTTTGATTCACTTTCCTTTTTATTTTATTGGATCATGCTCTGTGTTCGCTTTAAGACCTACGGTACATAGCGCTGTGTCCTTAGCATAGATATAAATAGTCTTTTATTGCTGTACATTTGAAATGAGCCTTCAAATAGTATTTCCCATTTTCTTTACAGCATTATTTGATACTGTCTTATATTTTATGTGACATAATTTGTCAGTGCATTATTTTTGCTTTAACAGATAGCTTGTATTTCTCAATCATATTGCTCTTTGTGGAGGTAACATTGGTTCACGGTATGATTTAAGGTATTGGTGCACACCTCTTCAGATGTATGTTAACCACATCACACCCCTCATGAAAGCAGTACTCCTCCACCATAATCTGTTCGGCACCTTCACCCCTTTGCTCTCTACTCACCCCTGCCTTTAACAGTTATCTTTTAAAAGAGATTGAAGAAAAACATGTTCCATTTTTGTCTGCATGGAACCTTTTCCAGTGTTCTTCTCTGTCATTGTGGGTCTTGGTTAACATCTGCTATCCCCCCTCCTACCAAAAGGATGTGCTTTAACATTTCTTGTAGTGTGGGTCTGCTAGTGGTGATTTTTTTTTTTAATTCTTCAAGGCTTCAGATTGTGTTTCTCTGTGTTTTTTGAAAGATATTTTTGTGAGGTCTAGAATACTGAGTGGGTGGTTTGGTTTGGTTTTGTTTTCCTTGCAGTGTTTTGAAGATAGTGCTATGAAAACTTTTTGCTTGCATTATTTTGCGCCAGTAGTCTGCCATCATTTTGCTTGTTATTTTCTTTGTAGTATGTTATCTCCTCTGTCATTGATATTAATCGTTTTGATTATGATGTACCTTCATAGCTTCATAGTTATCTTCATGCTTCTTTTGTTTGGCATCTCGTGAATTCGGCGTGGGTTTGTAATTCTATAAGATTTGGGGAGTTACTGGCCATAACTTTTTTTTTTTAAGATTTATTTATTTATTTATACAAAAGCGGGTACGGGCCAGATTCACGGGAGGGTGAGAGGATTCACCAGAGACAGAGCTGGGAACAGAACAGGCAGACTGACGAAATACGCTGCTGAGGGGAGCAGCCGGGGCGACAGGAGAGGTCTGCTGCGCCTTGTGGGACCCTTGCCGGCCGGCCGGGATCGAACCTGCACTGCAGAGGCTGCTGGACAGCTTCACAGCGCTGTGCTCAACCGCCTGTGCCACCAGGGAATTCCCTGACTTTTTTTAGAGTACTTCTCACTCCTTTCAACCCCACCAACATTTTTCAGAACTCCAAGTACTTCTAAGTTAAAGCTGCTTTTGTTTTTCCATTTTCCCCTTTTTCTTGTGAAAGATAGCTCTTTGGATTTTTTTTTTTTTTAAACTGATGTACTGATAATCTTTTCTCATTTTAATTTGCTAATCCCAAATAATGCTTAAAATCAGCAGACAAGAATACTGAATTAACTATAAACATATTCCATGTGTCACAAACTCTGTGCAAGCATGAACATTTTGACGGGGGTGGGGGGAAGACAGGCTGTTCAAAATGTGGGAAGTAAAAGACAAGAACTGCGATATCTGAAGTACATTTAGCCAAATGTAACAAATTCCAATGAAAATTTGGGGCTAAGTATTCCTAGCTAGGAAGAAATAAAAAGTTACAAATTTGATGAAAACTAAAGGCATGTTCTGGAAATCTTTCATGAAGAATCTGTGTTATTGAGAAACTATCTAGTTGCAGTTGGAATCCTTCAGGGCTGGCTTTTTTTTTTGTTACTAGTCTAGGGTTTGTGTGGTCCTGTTTCTGAGATACTGAATGTCTTCTGATTTGAAGTTTTTCCATCGTACACTAAGAAAGGAGTGAGAAGTACTCTGTGATCTACCTCTTAGAGCTGAAAATGGCCTCACTCACTTTGTTCAGTTTCTTGATTGCTTAACATGGAAGGATACATCTGACTAGAAGTGGAAGTCCTGCATCAGCTTTGTCACTGTTAACTTGAAATAAAGTAGGGACCAAATAAAAAACCAGTGTGATTTGTTGTCTGATCCTGGGAATTAGGGAATGTGCTCCCTTGGGCCTGAGCTAGGTCTTGCGGTCCAAGAGCTGAGAAGCAAAAGGGGTCTGGACTGAGCTAGGTACTGCAGAAAAACAAGTTCCTGGGGCTTGAGTTGAGGCTTAAATATTGGTGAAGGGGTAGGAATTGGGGCTCAGAGAGAGAGATGATTGTTGTGTTAATCTTCTTTAAGCCGTTTTGATAACTTGAACTCTGGTCTGAGTTGTGGTTTGGTATCCCTGGAGTTTAGACAGCTGGGAAGAGGAGAGAAATACATCTCTATCTCGTGTTGTAAGTGTCAGGATCTCAGGGATGATATATGTATTGACACTGAACTGATCCTGGCCCAAGGGAAGATCTCATTCCTTGAATTTCAGCTGCATGTTCCTGGCTTTCTACCTTGAGCCCAACAGTAAGGAAGGAGGATCCTGGAAGTTGAGAGGGAGGAAGTTTGCACCTCGGAACTTCTCCAGGGTGGCATTTAGGCCTGTGGTTCCTGAGGGGCCCCGAAGGTAGAAGGGGTAATGGTTTGTGGTTTCTTGAACAGAGCTTGGAGCATAGGACTCCACACTCAGAGTCGGGCTGTATAATTCCTAATTTCTTCTTTCGGTCACACCGTGGCCGAGGGTTGGTGCACGATCTGACAAATTCCCCGCCAACCTTTGCATTCTCTAGGTCCCTATACCTTTAGTATCTGCGATACCTCCAGCTTCTCTGACTATATCTGTGGCGGCATTGTCAGTCAGGTCAAAGTGCCTAAGAAGATCAGCTTTGTGAGTATGTGTGAAGGATGGGCTTGAGGGTTCCTGGCCTTTCTGGGTTTTCATTTTTTCTCTGATGTGCATTTTCTTCTCAGAAACCCTTGCTGGCCTCGTTGGCAGAGCCAGACTTTGTGATATCAGACTTTGCCAAGTATTCGTGCCCTGCTGTGCTGCACATTGGATTTCAGGCCCTACACCAGTTCTGGGCTCAGTATGGCCGGCTTCCTCGGCCCCGCAATGAGGTAGATCGATGGGCAAGCCAACTAGTGTCCTTGACCCAGAGGCCCACTGTTCCTTTCCATATAGTGGCCTGACTGGTCTTCTCCTGGTTCCTTCTGCCCTGCCAGGAGGATGCAACAGAACTAGTGAGCCTAGCACAGGCTGTGAATACTCGAGCTCTGCCAGCAGTGCAGCAGGACAACCTGGATGAAGACCTTATCCGGAAGCTGGCTTATGTGGCTGCTGGGGACCTGGCACCCATAAATGCCTTCATTGGGGGTCTGGCTGCACAGGAGGTTATGAAGGTCAGGCAGATGGGTGGAGAGGGCAAGACTGGAGATGGGCCCACTGCCTTCATGAGTCTGTCACTTGCTGTTCATCTTTTTATTCCTCTATTTAACCACCTCAGGCATGCTCTGGGAAGTTTATGCCTGTAATGCAGTGGCTGTACTTTGATGCCCTTGAGTGTCTCCCGGAGGACAAAGAGGCCCTCACAGAAGACAAGTGCCTCCCGGTATGTGATTGTGACCCATGGGAAAGGCACTTTGGAGGCTTCTGAAAGGCAGCTGTCTGACCTCCTCACTTCTGATTCAGTGCCAGAACCGCTACGATGGGCAGGTGGCTGTTTTTGGCTCAGACCTTCAAGAGAAGCTAGGCAACCAGAAGTATTTCTTGGTGAGTGATTTCCGGCAGCTCCGCTTTTGGAGTGTCCTTGTGCCTCATTAGAGCGGGTCTTCGGTTCTTGTGCCTTCATCTCATCCCTTTTTTCCACTTTATCTGTCCTTAGGAAGCCCGATGTGTACCATTCGTCTCCCTGTGGTGCCTCTTTCCATGGCTTTTTATTTCCCTGGGACTTGAATCTGCATACCTTACAACCCGCCCCTGCTATCTCCAGGGGTAAGAGCGTGAATGGGTGCTACTACCCTCAGTCATCCTGACGAGCCTCTGTCTCTCCTTGACTGCCTCCCAGGTGGGTGCAGGTGCCATTGGCTGTGAGCTGCTCAAGAACTTTGCCATGATTGGGCTAGGCTGTGGAGAACATGGAGAAGTCACCATTACAGACATGGACACTATTGAGAAATCCAATCTGAATCGGCAGTTTTTGTTCCGGCCATGGGATATCACAGTGAGTAGGCTAGACGCAGTGAGAGGGTAAACAACTCAGACTTCTCTCCCCTGGAATATCCCCAGTCAGGTCACTTCCTTATCAGCTCAGAACACTCCACTGACTCCCAGTTTCATGTGTGGTAAAATGACTTAGCCCCAGTAACTTCCACAACTTTGTCTGCCTCCTCTTCATCATCTCCTGTCTGACTTCTGTCTTCCTCAGTAACAAGCAAATGTGTTCCATTTGAACGCAGTTCCTGGGACTTGCCTATTATTAGATAAAGCAGTCTTCAGGACAGCTCTGTAAGGTGTGTTGATGAATGTGTTAGTAACAACTCTCTTCCTGCATTCCCACCTAGAAATTTAAGTCTGACACAGCTGCTACAGCTGTGCGTCAGATAAATCCACATATCCGGGTTATGAGCCATCAGAACCGTGTGGGCCCTGACACAGAGCATATCTATGATGATGATTTCTTCCAGAATCTGGATGGTGTGGCCAATGCCCTGGATAACGTGGATACCCGTGAGTTTGCAGGCAGAAGGGCAGAGTCAAGTTTGTGTGTATTTGGGGGGAAAAGAGGGGTGTATCCCGCCTCTCCTATTGTATCCTGATAATATCGCCTCATATTCCTCCCCGCACACAGGCATGTACATGGATCAACGCTGTGTGTACTACCGTAAGCCACTAGTGGAGTCGGGCACGTTGGGCACTAAAGGAAATGTGCAAGTGGTTATCCCCTTTCTGACAGAGTCATACAGCTCCAGCCGGGACCCTCCTGAGAAGTCCATCCCCATCTGCACACTGAAGAACTTTCCCAATGCCATTGAGCACACCCTTCAGGTGATCAGCACTGTAGGGAGGAGATTGCTGGGGAGGGGGTGGGGGTGGAACAGACTGGCACCTGGCAGCCTGTCAACCACCAAGCCCTTGTTGCTCAAATGATGCAAGCCTTCTTGAACATGTAACGTGCCTTTTGTCCGAGGCTTCGCTTTGCAACCAGTAACCTAAACTGTTCATGTTATGTCCTTTATTGAAGGGTATGTGACCCATGGATGGAGAGGACAGTGTCTCACCAGGAGTGGCACACTCTCCCAAGGCATTTAGGATAAGAGCAAGCTGAGACAAGGCATCAACGCAGTCAAACCACTTGATTTCCTTATAAGGCTAGCAGGTCCTGTTTTCTAGGCTGAGGGGAATAGTTAAAGCTGAGTTGTGAGGTTCGTATATTTTAGGTTATGATTGGGGGTATATTAGATTTCCTGGAGAGGTGTTACCTGTCCATAAGTGTAAATTGACTTAGGTCCAGATTTGTTACTTGTGTTGATCACGTTAACAACCTCCATTTTGTGGGTCCCACTATGCAAACTCATATTATCAGTGCCGAGACAGGACCTTGTTTTTTGGACTAACAATACCAACCCCCTCAGTTCTCAAATTATTGTCATGTAAACTGAAGTAATTATACCATCTCAGGAATACCCAAATTATTACCATAACTCACTGAAGCTCCCAGAGACTTAGAAAACTTCTTTGGCCCCAGAGTTTTCCAAAGTAGAAAAACTGGGCATTATGTGGGGTGAGAAAAGTCAAGTATGAAATAATAGGTTGTGTTTACTGTTAAAAAAAGGAGAAGAAGAAGACAGGCACCATTGCTTCCCTGGAGTCTGGGTTTCTCATTGGTTGTCAGTTTTGTCATCGTCAGACCGGCAGATACTATTTTGGCAGAGGAAGCTCACACAAGGACACCAGGAGAGAACTGTCCCTCAGTGAAGATCCAGAGTCCATGTCTTCAGTTAGGAGAGACCAGCTCGCCCATTGTTCCTCCTGTGTCCATAGGGAAAACCAGTGTATTATTATCCCTCAGACTTTTAAGACTTGTTGAGTCTTAAAAGCTTCAAATGAAGTGGCTGACAGCATCAGCTCCATATTATTATTATGTTGGTTCACACATGTTTGCTTAAAACTTTCATAAAATAATTGTGTATAATTCAGGACATATCTGAAAATTGAGGCTGTACTGTAAGCAATACAAATTTTATTGGTTTTTTGGGTGTTTTTTTGTTTTGTTTTGTTTTGTTTTTGCACAACAAAAATAATTCCTCAGTAGCATCTCTGCTAGTTACTTAATTGCCTCTAGAAAGGCCATCTTTAGATTTCCCCATTTGTGGGGATAATTCTTTTCATTGCTCTATATGTGAAACAGTGTACATTTCATTTGAATGGTTAGCGTAAACATATTTAACTGGCATTCAGAATCTAGCCTGAATTTCCAGTCCCATTGAAACCCAATAACCACTACATTATCAGAGTTATTCTTAGTGCAGCCTTTGAGGTTATGTTTAGGAAGACACCAGGAACATCTGTGTATGTATATTGTGGGCAAGAGAGGTATGTGTATTTATACAAGTGTATGTGTACATCAGATATGGTTCAGTCCTTGTTTCTCTTAGCCTGAAATGCAGGCAAGCCCATCAAAAAAGCCTTTAAAAGATACTTGCTATGTGACTCTTGTAGTTAACATCTAAGTGCCTTGGGTTCCTTATTTATAAAATGAGGGTGACAGTACTATCCCTCAGCGCTTTTGCACAACACTTACCCCTTAATATATGTTTGGTACTGTTGCAGATAAACTTCAAAGATCTACTTATTTGTTCATTCTTCGATAGCAAGTCCATGAGGTATAGCAAGTCCATGAGGTAGATCACTAGTACAGTATATTTTTCAAGACAGGATGGAGAAGTAAACCCACCATGTTATATAGCTGAAGTTACAAAACCGTGCCAAGCTGACATTTATTGACCCCCACCCCCAAATTTGTTAGAAGGCAATACTTCCATCTTTTCTTTTTAATAGCCAGCCCCCAGAACTACATAAGATTTGCTTTGATTTGTTCTTGTTTTTTTTTTTTTTTCCTTTTTACTGAGCTGAGACACAGCTAGGGTGAAGTACAAACATATTAAGTATAAGTTTCTCACACGTACACATTTGTGTCACTGTCCAGATCAAGGTCTTTGGATTTTAAGTTGAGTTGGTTGTGAATTGTGAAATTCAAGAGCCATATTTGAGGATCTTCTTCCATGTGTTCTGTCATTGCAGCCAATCTTTTCCTATTTTCTTTATTCACTGATGGTCTTTCATAATGCCTGCAGATTTCATTTTGTCTCCCATAACCTCGCCTAATTTATCTGCAGTGGGCTCGGGACGAGTTTGAAGGCCTCTTCAAGCAGCCAGCTGAAAATGTCAACCAGTATCTCACGTGAGTGATCCTTCTGTCTAGATCTCCCTCACTGTCTCCTGTCTGCCAGCCAGTGCATCCCTTAACGACTAGGTGATGAATTCTTGGGCCTTCTGCCATAAGGATCAGGAGTGGCTTTCCATGGCGTGACACACCTAAGTGTAATCCTGTCCCCTGGGCCCTCTCTCGTTCCTAACAGAGACCCCAAGTTTATGGAACAAACAATACGATTGGCAGGCACCCAGCCCCTCGAGGTGCTAGAGGCCCTGCAGCGCAGCCTGGTGCTACAACGGCCACAGAACTGGGTTGACTGTGTTACTTGGGCTTTCCACCATTGGCACGCCCAGTACTCTGACACCATTCAGCAGCTGCTGCATAACTTTCCTGAACAGGTATTGTACATTTACTGAATTCATTTGGCAGCGTACATCTCCTGGAAAACAGGAGCTTGCTATGGGCTGTTAACTTGACTCGCTGCAGTTAATTTAGCTGTTGTAGGCACACAACAAGGCCTGGAGATCATATAAAGTGATCAAGTCTGCTACTTTTGCAGTTAGCTGCCTGTTATTTTTTTTTTCTGCCATCCTCTTTTTCTCAAAATACTCAGTTTATTTTTCCCTTGATATAACATGGAATGAGTAATAACCCAATACCCGTGAAAACTGGGAGATTACAGGAGAGGAAACTAGGTAGTTCAAGTTCCAGATCAATTTTACTTTGGAGCAAGGCTCACACGCTCTGGACCTCAGTTATCTTCACCTGTTAAGTAGGAATAATGATCCTATGTTACAGGAATTTTGTGGGGATTCATATTTTTTTACTTAGCACGGGTAGTGAGAATTGTCAAAGAGAGCGCTCCTCTCAGGTCCTGTTCCCCCAGAACTTTCTATTTTCTTAGGTGACAAGCTCTGGAGTTCCATTCTGGTCTGGTCCCAAACGCTGTCCACACCCTCTAGTCTTTGATGTCAGCAATGTAAGTCTTCTCCCTAGGGTCAGGTGGAGGTAGGGGACTGGAAAGGAGACTGAGACTTTCCAAGTGACAGCTGATACACTTGGGGCCTCCCTCATGGCCTAGGGGTTAAGTCTCAGCGCTGTCACCATGATGGCCTGTGTTGGATCCCGGGCTGGTCAGAGAGCCGACCCACATGGCACAGCAGACCTGTCCCCGCTGCACCTCTCAGCAGTGTATTTCGTCAGTCTGCCTGTTCTGCTCCCCACTCTGGTGAATCCTCTCACCCCTTGCACATCTGGCTTTCACCCTAGTTCTTGTGTGCATGAATAAATAAAATATTAAAAAAAAACAAAAACAAAAAAACAATGTGTTTACCATTCCGTGCCTTGCAGTCCTTGCATCTGGACTATGTGATGGCTGCTGCCAACCTGTTTGCCCAGACTTATGGGCTGATGGGCTCTCAGGACCGCGCTGCTGTGGCCATTCTTCTGCAGTCTGTGCAAATCCCGGAATTCACCCCCAAATCTGGTGTCAAGATCCATGTCTCTGACCAGGAATTCCAAAACACTAGCAGTGCCTCTTTTGGTGAGGATGCGTGACAGTTAACCTGGAGCTGCCACCCCACATTCTCCCTGTCCTTTCAAGCCTCCCCACTCTGACTTTTCTGTTTAGATTTCAGACTCAAATATTACACATACTGCCTTTGGTGCTCATTTCCTCCTATGTAAAATTAGGGTGGTTAGTTAAGGCAGACTCTCTCATATACTCTTTTATCTTCCTAGTGTAGATCCCAGAAGGACTGATTATTCATCTCCTTTTGCCTTGTGCTGTGCTCCTTTCCTCTGTTCTATTCTGTTTATCTGTGGGGGAAAGAATTGTCACCACCTTCACCTGCAGTCTCTTTGCCGTTATTTCTTCCCTGGTTCATCTCTTTCCAGGTCTGCCCACCCATATCCTCAGCTTTTTCTGTACACGGATTTTGCCTTAATGTTGAACTCTAGTGTCTTCTCTCATCTCCCTCTCAGTGTCTCCCAGTTTCCCTAATTCCAAAGCCATGTTTGTCTCTCCCCGTTCTGTCTCAGGCTCTCAGAGCCATTCTTTTGCTTGTTGTCTGCTTAAGCTTTCTGATGTTTCCCTTTGTGTAATTGTCTCCACCTCCTCAAACATGCCCCTCATTTTCCTTTCCAGATACTGCTCTATCATGCTCCTTTCTGTGTGTTTCTCTGGTTCTCTCCCTAACTATCTCCCCTTCACATAGTTTCCCCTCTCATCCACCAAAAATCCCCTCATCTTCACCATTAATTCCCTTGGCATCTTTCTTTACATGACCTCCTATTTATGTCATTATTTATGTGTATACTTTTTCCCTATCAGTGCATTTGCCCACAATGCCCCTTCATATGTATTTTCTTTTTCCTCCTTTCTCTTCCTTTCTCCCCTGTATCTTGTCTCTCTCTGTCTGTCTTCTTCAAGATCTCCTGTCTTTATACTGTTTCTCCTTCCTTTAAAAAAATACTGATTATAAAGATGGATGTGCCATTTTGAATTGTGATAAGAATCTTCACATTACTGTGTAATACATCTCTAGAACTTTCTTATCTTGCAAGATATTGCAAAAGATAGCTCCCCAGACCCCCTTTCTGTAACCCAATTCTATTCCCTGTCTCTGCTTTTGACTATTCTGGGTACCTCATGTAAAATAAAGTAACATTCCATTGAATGAATCAGATCACATTTCCTTTACTCATTCATAACTGCAACTTTTATCTACAGTAAAAAGCACAGCTATCTACGTCCTTTCTTAAGACCTGTACTTCTATTCCTTGGTGTCTCCGGATACATATCTCCTCATGTTCCCTAACCCTTTCATAATGGGTTTTTCTCTGCCTTTGCCCCTTCCTGTACTCTTTCCCATACTGTGTCACCTTTTCAAATCTTTTCTGTCTGAACCCCTCTTACTTAACATAGGTGCTCGCGTTTATCTCATACCCTGACACACTAATGTGCCCTTCCTTCCTGTAGATGATAGCCGCCTACGGGAGCTCAAGTTGATGCTGCCCAGCCCAGAGGCTCTCACTGGGTTCAAGATGTACCCCATCAACTTTGAGAAGGTGCTAGACACGGAGTGTGGGGGGCTCTCAGTGTGGGAGGGAAGGTTTGTGATTCAGCCTACACTGTCCTGGGAAAGAAAGGTTTGCCACATGATGCTGTCATCCTTTGTAAATGGGGGAGTTTGGGGCTGGTGTGGCAGGTAATTGAGTGCGGTATACTTGAGACCCTGGGAGGCAGGCAGCATTGTTTATTTCTGAGGCTTTCTCTCCTTTCTTTCCTACTCAATAGGATGATGACAGCAACTCCCATATGGATTTCATTGTTGCTGCATCCAACCTCCGGGCAGAGAACTATAACATTGCCCCTGCGGACCGGCATAAGGTAGTGAATAGTCTAAACCTAACCTTTCATGTTTTTCCCAAGCATGAGTCTTCCACATTTGGTCCCTTCTATACACCCTGATTCTCTGACTACTACCTCAGCTGATCACACTCTGTTTTACAGAGTAAACTGATTGCAGGGAAGATCATCCCAGCCATTGCTACGACTACAGCAGCTATTGTTGGCCTTGTGTGTCTGGAGATGTACAAGGTGGTACAGGGACACCAGAAGCTTGAGTCCTATAAGAACAGCTTCATCAACTTGGCCCTGCCCTGCCCTTCTTCAGCTTCTCTGAGCCACTTGCCCCGCTCCGTCATCAGGTGGGTGTCTGCTTGTACAGCAGCCATTTGTATGGAAACCTTTGGTGAGGTAGAGTCTTTGGGAGGGGTGTGTATGTGTATGTGTCTGAAGAACTGACTTTAATCTTCATCATACCATGTGGACTTTCTATAGGTACCTGTACTTTTGTGTACCCTTTGTTGATTCAGCATACAGTTAGAGTCAACAGTAGGAGTTTCACCATTGGCCCTGTGGCACCCTGTGGCACCTATGCGAAGTAGGACTGACTGTCATGTTTGAAAAATCACAAGGAGGGCCAGTTCATTTGGAGGACATTAAATAGGACTGCAAAGAGGGTGAAGGGCTGAGTGAAAGCGATAGCAGGGTCTTCATGGTATGTCACTTTGTTGATCATCAGTTACTTAAGAGATAGGGGACACAGGAGGGTTTTGAACAAAAGAAGACAGTGATTGATGAAATTTATTAACGTGCCAACTTGACTGATAGGGGCAGGATTATCTTGGGTGACCCCCATTCTGCTAGCTTACTCTTTGTCTTGCAGTACTATAACCAAGAATGGACATTATGGGATCGCTTTGAGGTACAGGGACTGCAGCCTAATGGTGAAGAGATGACACTCAAGCAGTTCCTCAGCTACTTCAAGGTACATCCCTTCACTTACTCCACCTAGAGGTGTTGGCTGTGCAGTTAACTTGACTCTTCCCTCCAGCTGATGTCCTTCCTCTTTCCATCTTGTCCAGACACAGCACAAGTTAGAGATCACCATGCTGTCCCAAGGTGTATGCATGCTGTACTCCTTTTTCATGCCAGCCACCAAGCTCAACGAACGCTTGGATCAGCCGTGAGTTGGCCACTGGGCGGTGTGATGGCGGTTCTGCCTGGGATGGGAAGCCTCAGCTTCTAGCTGCTCTCCTCGTGTTATGGTTTTCCTGCACTCTTTGTCCCTCTGTCACCCTTCTTCTCTTGCTTTCTGCTCATTATTCTCTTCTCCCTTGCCCCAGGATGACACAAGTTGTGAGCCGCGTGTCAAAGCAAAAGCTCGGCCACCACGTGCGGACACTGGTGCTTGAGCTGTGCTGCAATAAGAGTGGTGAGGACATCGAAGTCCCCTATGTACGATACACTATCCGCTGACTCCTTTATACAACTCAGTTCCAGCCCTAGTTAATGTGTTACCAAATCCTTTCTAGTTGTGGCAAAGTCTAAGCCCAACAAGACCCATAGCCTTAGTCCCTTTCGAGTTTTTTTCTTTCCTCCTATTGTGTTTACAAGTGGAGTTCATAATAAAAAGTTATTTGTCAAGATGCAGCATATCCTTATTTTGGCAAGGGCCTTTGTATCTGAGAAGGAAAGGCTTTGTAGTACTTTTAGCTTTGTAGTGTGAGTTGATAATGCAAAGTGCCTAGCTCTGCCCTTTGCCCAAAAATCAGGTTATGAATCTCAGGAGATTAATTCCAGATGCTTTTGGTAAGTGTGGGATTTGCTGCCTTTTCTTCCAGTCCTCTCTGCTTAGAATGGTCTGCACATGCCTGTCTGTTAAATCTCATTCAGGTTCTAATGCTTTTGTATTTCCAGCTACATGGCCTGTTGATTTTGAGAAGTGGTAACAGCTTTAAGACCTAATACTAAGGCTTCTCAAGTGCATGATCTTTAATTAAAGACTCTTGTTTACTTATGTTAATTACTCATGTAAGAAAAAGCAGCGTATTTAATGCACTTATTTTTACCACATAGTGTATATTGCATAAGCGTTTGCTGCTCTTTTACAAGAATGTGCTTTAGCTTCCCTAATCCTCCTTGTTTCTGCGAAGGTTTGGCCCCATTTCACCTCATGTAATGCATTCAGATCCTTTATAAATATGATGCTCTGCTTAAAAGCTCTTGCAGAGACATGCAGTGCCTACATTACTACACACAATAAGGAGATTATTTGGATGACATTTATCCAAGAAAAGTCCTTTCCTGCTCCATCCTCTCTCTCAGCCCCAGGTCTGCTTGTTCAGTCCTTGAGGGCCGTCATATCTGCTACATGGAGGATCAGTCAAGCTGTAGAGATTAAGGGAGGCTTATCTGTTAGAGTCAACAGCAGGAGTTTCACCATTGGCCCCATGGCAGGCACTGCATGGTCTAAAGTTGTGTCCCAGTTACTGAAGACACCGATGATTTTTTGTGGTAGTCACATCTACTCATAATTGGTATCAGTTGGAAGTGCCCAAGAAACCCACTGTGGCTTATTAAGGGAAACCCTAGGTGCTCTCTTGTGTTGCTCCACTCCACATTGGGTGTCTCTGAACTTAGCTGTTGTAGCCTGTCCCAACCTCGCTGCCAACCCCAATCCATGAAAGTAACCCTCTGTCTTTTAATGACAGTTCTTGGCCTGTGTTGTTTAAGCTAGAGAGAGAGAGACAGAGAGAGAGAGAGACAGAGAGAGAGAGAGAGTCTGGGGCAGGAGGGGGACGGGAAGAGAGAGAGAGTGTCCTGAAGACCTTGAAACGTAAGGGGCAGAAATACTTCACCTCTGCTAATTTAATGGTAATGCTAACTGTCTAGTTTAAGCACTGTTTCCATTACTATGTCATCTAAGCCTGCTTTCAAGTTGCAATCTTTTGCCCCCTTTCTCCACTGCTACAGTTCCAAATCTTCTAATGACACTTGGTATAATAACATGATTTTGTTGCTCAGGACTGGTCACTAGGCCAGAGGTAGCACCTAGTGTAGAAGATAAATTTCCAGTGTGTGGTCATTAGGTGTCAGTTTTAGTCAAAACTTAAAAATGCACATGTTGATAGGGAGTACTGCATTGAGCACCAGACCTAATTTCTTCATTCTTTCCTGACTCTTCTCTGTCTAGGTCAAGTTCAGAATTAAGAACTCCACACTGAATTTCTCTCTTACACCCCTATATCCCCTGAAAGCTTACTGACCCTGCTCACTCCTCATTCCTTTTTCTCAAATTCAAACCCCTACCGGTTTACTTCTTTTCTAAATTTGCCCATCATTATTCTCCTCTGAGTATTACCTATGAAAAAAAGACTCATACTGGTTACAAGCAGCATCTCTCCTCAGGTCTGGCACAACTTTCCTCACGCAAGTGCACACAAACACACAGTGTGAGCTTTTTAAGTTGACCAAAGACAGGCATAATAGGGTGTTGCTGGCTTATGGTAGGCATGTAATCTATAAAGTAGGTGATAGCTCTCCAAGAGTGGGCAGGAAGAGTAAGCGTTGAAGGACTCTCACAACAGTAGTATTGTAATGGTTGGCTGGGTACCCAAGAAATAGTACCAATAGGAGATAAAGATAGCTGTGCTGCTAAAACATGTAAAGGTATTTTTATATATGTAAGGAGACAGATTTAAGACATAATTTACATGAAAAATACATAACCAGATAGACTATAAGGAATTGGTGCACACTAGAATTATCTTTTGACTTTATCAGAAAGGATAGTACTAAGAAGCCCAAAAGGGTATTCTGCACTCTACACACTATTCTGTACCTCCACTCTGAAGTAACCATCTGAGTTCCCCTTCAAGGTCCCCCTCAAGGACACCCCAGCCAGTATAGTAACTCCCTTCCTTGCGCATTAATTAACAGGTATAAGGAGCTCAAAATGCTCCTTGTAATCCCTTTGGAACAATCTTGGAATTAAGATCTGGGCCAGTATTTTAACGTCAGGAAGAAGAAAGAAAATTTTCCTTAGTGGGTCACTGCTTCATTCCCACACCTCTCCCTCTCCCTCCTTGATTTCCGGACCCTTGAATTCAGATGGCAGGGTGTGGGTGGGGAAACCCAGCATCCTGTAATGGAGTCTAATTTATGGTATGCCTACCCTCCTGCAAGGTGTTGCCACCCAGCTGCATCCACTACACAAGAAGTCATCTTTCTGAAAACTGGTAATACCAGAACACGGCAAAGGGAATGAGCCTTGATCTAATAGCATTTCTTTTCTAGATTTTTTTTTTTAATTTACGCTTAGAAGATCTGGGGTGTAGGCCAGAGCTGTGGGGGCTGATGGGATTCACCTGAGACAGAGTGGGGAGCAGAACAGGCGGATCCACTGAAACAGACTGCTGAGAGGACCAGCGGGGAGACAGGAGAGGTCTACTATGCCATGTGGGGCAGCACTCTGGCCAGGGATCAAACTCAGGCCGCAGTAGCTGACGAGAGCTTGATAGGGCTGAGACTTAACCCCTTGTGTCACCAGAGAGGGCAAATACGCATTTCTTTTCCTGTGAATTGAGTTTCTTGATCCAAAGCAAATATACAGGGACTTCCATGTATACTGGAGAATAAGATTCTGTGAGTCCATGAATGGCATTTTTGGCAGAAGAATTGCATGTGAAGAAGACAAATCCATAGTTAGAGGGTCTATTACAGTAACAACAAAAGCGTCCCCTTTCTTGAGGGAAGCAGTCCAGTGTAATCAGGTAACCGGTATTACACTGGGAATACAGTTTTGGTTTCTGCCCTTCAGGCATTTAAGCAGTGGGCATAGCAAGGTGGGCCTCGATGAGTACAAGTTCCTTTTACCAAACCAGGTAATCAGGGATGAAGATGGACACTATGTGATGATAAGGGGAACAACTCACCAAGAATTGCTCCAAATATAGGGCTACCTAGTTATATAAAGCAACTATTAACAGACCTAAAAAAATAAATCAACTATAATGTATTATTGTTGGAGACCTCAACACGCCTCTGACACAAACATAACAAAGACATAAAGGTCTGTGATGAAATACAAGGTCAGCAGGATTACAGGCTATTAGCAGAGTTTCCCAGCCTAAAGGTAGTACATACTCTTTCTTCTGAAGTGCACATGGAACATTTTCAAGAACAGATTATATGTTAGGACATAGAACAAGTCTCAGAAAATACGTGAAAATAGAAGTGGTATCATTTTCCTTCACTGGCCACACCACAATGCTATAAATCTAGAAACTGACCATAAAGGAAATCCTGGAACAACCCAAGATATGTGGAGACTAAACAGAATACTTTTATTTTTGTTTTGTTTTAGAGAGTTATTTATTTATGAACACAAGAACTGGGATACAGGCCAGATGTGAGGAGGATGAGAGGACTCACCAGAGTCAGAGCGAGTAACAGAAGAAGCAGATCTACTGAAACGCAGGAGAGTAGCAGGAGAGACAAGAGAGGTCTCCTGTGCCATGTGGGTAGCTCCCTGGCCAGCCGGGGATCAAATTCGTGCTGCAGTGGCTGCCAATAGCTTGATTAACTCCCGCGCCACCAGGCAGGCCCAAAACAGAATACTTTTGCACAATCCTTATGTCAATGTAGGTGTCAAGAAATAAATGAGACTAATGAAACAGACAAGTTATCAGACTCTGTGATGGTTTAAAAGCAGTACTGCATGGGAAGTTCATAGCATGCATAGGGTCATAGTATCATATAGGGTCATAGCATATATAGGGTCACATTAAAAACAGTGTGAGAAGGTGTGCCTGTCACAATCTAACTGCAGTTTAAGAGACTACAAAAAGAAGAAAAAAAATATGATAGAAGGCAGGAAGTAATAAAAATGAAAGCAAAAATAAGTGACACAAAGCAAAAAGACAGTTCAAAAGATTGGTAAAACCAAGAGTTGGTTTTCTGGGAAAAAAAAAATAACAAAGTTAGGGCCTCCCTGGTGGATGAAGGGCTTACGCACAGCACTTTGAAGCTGTCTGCAGTCACTGTAGCACAAGTTCAATCCCCAGGCAGCCAAGGTTTTGAACCCACATGGTGCATCAGACCCCTCCTGCATTGCCGCTGGTCCCCTCAGCTGTGTATTTCAGTAGATTCGTTCTGTTCTGTTCCCACTCTATCTCTGATGAATCCTCTCACTCCTGCACCTCTGCTCTGTTCCCCAGCTCTTTAATGCATAAGTAAATAAACCTTTCAAAAATATAACAAAGTTGGCAAATCATTAGCTAGGGCTACAAAGCAGAGAGACCACCCAAATTGAGAGAATCAGAAGTGAAAGCAGTCAGAACAGAAAGTGCTGAAATACACAGCGTTGTAAGAACCTATTATAAGAGTTTCTATACAAATAAGCTGGATAACCTAGAAGAAATGGGAAAATTCTTAGACTCATATAACCTCCTAAAATTGAACCAGAATGAAACAGATGGCTTACACTGTGCAGTCATAAGCACTGAAATTGAAAAAGAGTAATGAAAAGCAACCCCATAGACAAGAGTGAAAGCCCAGGAACAAGATGGCTTCAGGAGTGAGTCCTACCAAATCTCTAAAGAA